TTGGCGGAGTTTTTATGAGGGGCTGCGGAGGTACAAGGAAACGGTTTTAATACTGTGCCTAGTAACATTCGCGTCTCGCTACGCTTGTCCATAACTCGCAACGATTCCTATTCAGCTCGAACCGATTGTAATCCAACTGAATAAGTCTCGAGAATATTCTCACGGACATCGCAAATTGAAGGAATCGTGTAATTGACAAGAGTCGCTTCTGTTGAAATTCTCGACTGAGCACTTCTAATACAAAAGTCAACATTTTGAACTTAAATGAATATATTATTTATATGAGTATATTTCTTTGGGGACTTCATTGGGGACGATTTTATAAAAAACTTTTTAGGTGTGTACCTACTCGTTTTTGCCATTCTGTCCTAATAGAATTTTGTAACTACTTCGGCATAGACGAATCAACAGACGGAAATACACCGGGTCTCTTACCGATTACGTCTTAGAAACTACAAAGCAATAGTTGCACCACATTCACGTAAGTAAGTGATGACAATAAGAAATTCGCGTAAATTTAGCGCAAACATGTAACCAAATGAGACTTGCAAATAATATAGAGGTTTCAAAAACTATTTTTTTGTTAGATACACGAAAACTCATAACTATGAAACAAATATTATTTCAACGAATATTCGTTTAATGAAAAATAAATATTGTGTAGTTAGTTGATCAGAATATTTATATTTACAGAACAAATCTATAGTAGTTATATGCGAAACACAAGTTAATAAAGTTGAGTAAGGCGAGCTGTACACAGCACTCTAGTTACAACTCTACAACTAATCCAATTAGCTACCGGGAAGGACTTTCGTTTCCATCCTTCATCCCAATTCGACGCATACTGATTGCCTATTTGCTTTTATTTGATTATATTCGGCGTATAAATAGGTTTAGCGTGACGATTATATTTTGCGATCATTTCCTTAAAATATTTCCTATATTTTTTCAATTGATGAAATACAATGAATCGAAACGCAATCTCCATGTGTTGTTAGATATGCTAACGGCATTACTCACAGTGATCTGTTTCCTATGACGGCTAGACGAGCTCAAGAAACTCAAGGCCCGCCTGTTCCTAAGCGCTTCTTGCTTCTCATCTTAGGCTATGAACCATTCTTTTAAATATCAAAACAAACCAAACCACAGACTGTAGTTTCTAAATGAGAAACTCACGATTAAACTGGTTAAATTTACTGGTGGTAGGACCTCTTGTGAGTCCGCACGGGTAGGTACCACCACTCTGCCTATTTCTGCCGTGAAGCAGTAAGGCGTTTCGGTTTGAAGGGCGGGGCAGCCGTTGTAACTATACTGGAGATTTTAGAACTTATATCTCAAGGTGAGAGGCGTACTTACGTTGCAGATGTCAATGAGCTCCACTTAACACCAAGTGTGCCGTGAACTGGTCCACTTACCTAAGCAATAAAATAAAATAAAAAACCGATAACTTTATCGCGAGCTGATGAGACAAGGAAGCTGAAAGTTCCATGACTCGAGTTGATGCCGTCACTACTACGGACAGTCACATCAATACGAAAAATAACTAGCTCTCTTAAAAAAAAGTATGCACGATGAATTCTTTTACTGCACAATTGTAATTATAAAATTATTAGTCATGTAAAACTTCGTCACTGTAAATTATGCGCAATTATTAAGTCACTTTCTTCTTCTCCATCGCTCCCTCATTGCTGAGGATCGTGACTCCGTTTTAGCTTGTCGACTGTCAGCCTCCATCGATTCCGGTCAGTTGCCTGGTGTAGTGCAGCGCTAAGTGGTCCGCTAGTTTGCTCGGAGATCTGGTCGGACCAACGTTTGGGGCTCCGGCCTCTAGGACGTTTTCCTTCAATTTTCCCAGTGACCATCAGACGTTCCAAGTTGTCTACACCTCTGCGGGCAACAAGCAACATTAAGTCACAAGTGGTACGAAAACTTCCTCTACCTTTCTCCCACGTTGTAAACAATTTCTACTGTCAAGTGTAAGGAAGAGCATTTTTTTTTGTTCGTGTTTGCTTTTTTGGGCTCGATTGAACACGCGGGGCACCTTGACTTCAGTAGTTTGGGAGTCACACCCTAATGGAATCCTTTTTTGCTCGTCACTCAACCATGAAATGGTCACCAAATAAGCCAGTTATCTACGGCATACCGACTGACGACCTTTCGGTCACTACAAGAAGCTTTTTTGACGAATCCGCAAGCATCCTCGGTACAATCGATAATAAACAAAGACAGGCATGTATATATCCAATAAATAATAATAAAATAACGCTAGAATTAAACGGAAACTAATTTTGACGCCTCGAAAGCTTGAAAGTGTTCAATGATGAAGTCTAGTAAAGTGGTATTGTTCTCAGAACGCCTCAACACGGAGATGGTGCTGACGGTAATTTTTAAAATACCTTTACCATTATCTCCAAATACCTAGCCAGTCTTGTTGAAATAATAATATAAATATCAGTATAGAAAGATTTCTGTGATTAGTCTGGGTTATTTAATGCGTTTTTATTAATTAACACCAATAAATCTATATTGTATTTAGGGTGTTCCAATAATCCAGGTTTAATTTTTAAAGACCCGTTATTTTCGCAATTGTCATTATTAAAAATACCTCTACTTGCCGGATGACAAGTAAACATTACGTCATAAATAAAAATGGAACTATAAACACTTCAACAAAACATGCATTGAAATTACTATAATATAATTCATTACAAAAATGGTGTAATTTCGCAGTCACAGCTTGCAAAACTAAAGCACCTGTGGAGTATCGTCAAGCACCTCCTCGATCAGCTATTGTGAAACTGGTGGAATACTTTGAGCTGAGCTATATGTTCGGTATAAGTACTGTAAATCCTATCAATAGTGAAATTCTTCAAAATGTCTCTGTCCTTTTATGTGTAACAACAATAGAAGGATCTCCGAAACAACCTCTCAGTCCGATCCGTACAATGAGGCCACCGTTTTAGAAAATCAATCTATCGGAACCAATTCAGTATTGTACATCAATCGTCCATTCAACTCGAGCTGATTACAACAGATTAGGGAGCCAGCGTGCTCTATTATGTCTTTGGTTGGTAAGTGATGTCATCTGATGAGATTAGATTCATTTTGAATCCAGGGTCCACGATGCGCTACTGACTGATGTATTTTTTACTGGTGCCGGGGACACCTAAACTACTTAACTCCTAACCTAAGTTCTTATGATACCTGAAAGCTTCAAGTTAACTAGAATCGTGCATTTCTGACCCATTAAACCAATACATATGATTACTATGCGGCCGAGCACAATGTGTCTTACACTACCAGAAGGGCTCTGGGCCCACAAACAGAACAAAATCTCGAAATCTAAGTCTGTCCAATTAAAAGTTACGTAATCACGGTCTACACTGCATCAATGTCCAGAAATAGGACGTCAGAACTAGGATTTCACAAGTGAAATGTGGCAATGATCTAATAAGCTAGAAGAGAAATTCATTACAACAGATTTTTTTCAAATGTCATGAATTTCTGGAAAAGCTCTTAAATCATTTTGTTTTTATCTCACCTAAATAAACATCATTAAAATGCCGAATTTAATTCCTTGTACTCTTCTATAAATATTTTAAAAAATAATTGTAAGAAACAGCATCAACTAATGTTGTTAATTTAAAATGGACAAAAGGAGTCAAATTGTGCCTTAAGTCTCCATGAAAAAATAACAAAAAAGAAATAAGAGCTTCTTGTCATTGAAAATCTCCAAATGCTTAAATTTTATTTGTTTTAACAACATACAATATTTAGAAACGTGTTTCTGATAAGAAATTGTGAAATAATAAGGTTCAACCGTTTGGACCATCAGACTCTATCAACATCTCCTACGTTGCTATAGCGAGCGGCTACCGTCACTCATGGACGTCAGCAATGCCAGAAGCACAGCCAACCAGCGGCCCACCGTAATGTCTCAGGGTGGGGGCAGCCCTGCGGCCATGCTGTGATGGCTATACACTTCGGTAGCCGCAAAACACTAAGTGAGCACTAAATAAAAATGTAATATCCACAGAACTTGAGTCTTTCACCGACTTACCCGCGCGTACCTTTTGCTTTGTGTGAAAATTGTCGCGTATCCTCGTTTGATACAGAGTTATAGCAGTGCTTAAACCGAATTAAGCTTTATTACTGGATCAGACTCGGAGGGAGAGATCACAGCACATGGTATACATGGTAAACTGGGTGATATTAGATCGTCTGTCTGAGTGTAAAAAAATCTCTGATCGTAGTTGCTGGCTAACAAGCCCTCTCAAACACAAGAGTGCATCCCGCAATTCTCTGTTCTCTGTGAATTACACTTTCTTGGTGGCTTTATTACATTTCTATTGGGAGTTCGTGAATAGCAATTAACCAGTCTCTCTATACGTATTGACGAGGGCTTTATGATCTGACACTTAACTAATGACAGTCCAGAACCCTACTTACTCCGCTAACCTCATACTAGAGGGAACTTAATCTTACATTTAAACTTAAGCTTACTGGTAACCTACTCTTTAAGGTAATTTAATCACACCCATTACGACACCTTACTCGACCTAGCACTCAAATTATAATACAGCCTTTAATTCAGAATACAACTCAGGGAATGCTTTTGATATCGGCAATTGCAATCCATTTTGTCTGCATGAATCTAAGGAGACGATTGATCCTCTACTGAATAAAGATCAAGTCACTACTTTCCGTTGGATTCATCAATCTAGAACATTGCGTTATGTTATAGCCATCATACGCTCTATTTTTTTATACTCATTTCACGGTGTTTTATTTTTATTTTATTTTATTGCTTAGATGTGTGGACGAGCTCACAGCCCACCTGGTGTTAAGTGGTGACTGGCGACCATGGACATCTACGACGTAAATGCGCCACCCACCTTGAGATATAAGTTCTAGGGTCTCAAGTATAGTCAAAAGAGGGACGTATTAACATTAAAATATCCTTTTCATTCAAAACAATAGTGGTTTAATTTAAATCGAAATTAATAGGCCTTCTTGCATTTATTTATTTTCCTCTTAATCCTGTCCGTGTATGCTGTCACGACATTCGATAGCAGGGGCAAGGTGGAGGACTTCTCGTCATCCTTGACCCCGACTTCTGCACACAGGTCTGCTCTGGTCCTCTTCTCTACAGTATTGGCTTCCGAAGCCATGACAGCCGCAGTGTATAAATATCCGTTCCACTCCAAATACTCTAAGACTAAATGGTTGATCAATGAGACTTCTTCATTCGGGACGGGGGGTGGATTTTTCTGTGTACTGTTTTGTCTCTCTTGTAGAAGTTCAGTGACTTTTGCTCGTACCTGAGTCAAATCGAGAGGCTATTCAATTTCGACGAAAAAGTTAGTCTTATCGTTGGCCTAATGGTCTCTAACGTAAAAACTATTTATTATACAAAAGCCCTTGGATGAGTTATAAGATCTTTTTGGATTTATTGTTTTACTAATTAATTTTACATAATATACATATATATATGGATATATATAATTTAAAATTTCTCATTAATATTTTTTATTTACTACAAATATATTATATTACTTTATAATGATAACAGCAATCTTGAGCACATAATTATCATACTAAAACAAACTTTATATCTAAGTAAGCTAAATAAACATAATTAATGAATGTCGTATCGATTCAAGAATAAGCTCTTTGACAATACTGCAGGCTGCGTGTGACCATCATTCGTTTTATCTTCCTATCTTTTTCTTTTCAGAGTCGGTATGCTATTAACTTACAGCATCACCATGCACTTGCCAAATTTTGCTGTGATATTTCACTGAGAGCTTAAAAGCTTATTACCACCCAAATGTTCGAGACAAACAGTTTATTTAATAGCTTTTACTGGCAACCGTTCTGCTCACTCAGGCATTTACAAAATAAATACTTTTTGTTAAAACGTAAATGCATTTAAATTTGTGTATAGTACTATTGGCGTCTTTAAATAGATGAAAAGAAACACAAGAGGTGTTAAGTGGCCCCACCACATTCGCTTGAGACATGAGGTCGGCAGAAGTCGCCGTGACTGTGTGCATGATTGTAAAGAGGCACTTATGGTATCAACATCTATCGGTGCAAGAGGATAAGTTCCGAGAAGTCTGCGTAGGTATTAAAATTAGCCTGTTTAATATTTTAAATCTGTATTTATTTGTTATGTGTTCACAGGACGCATCACAATGCCGCAGCCTACCTGGAACGTGATTTCTAAGGCAAACTCGAATGTTTTACTGTTTTTCAGCATAAATAGACAGGGCAGTGGCACCTGCCCATGTGAGCACACAATGCGCACTACCACGTGTTCAAAAATATGTCAAAACTCACGGAACGTAATCTTAAATGATATCAACTTAATCAAATATCCATTGAATTGCGACAGTGGCGAGAACTTCATATCAGGTTTCTTACTGGAATAAAACTCTGAAAACTTGACTTTGAAGTCGTCGTAGCCTAAGGGTCGTGCGGTGCATTCGTGTTCAGCGATACACCGGTGTTCGAATCCCAGGCGGGTACAAATTTTTCTAATGAAATACGTACTCAACAATGTTCACGATTGACTTCCACGGTGAAGAAATAACATCGTGGAATAAAAATGAAACCCTCAAAATTATAATTTGCATAATTACTGGTGGTAGGACCTCTTGTGAGTCCGTGCGGGTAGGTACCACCGCCCTGCCTATTTCTGCCGTGAAGCAGTAATGCGTTTCGGTTTGAAGGGTGGAGCAGCCGTTGTAACTATACTTGAGACCTTAGAACTTATATTTCAAGGTGGGTGGCGCATTTACGTCGTAGATGTCTATGGGCTCCAGTAACCACTTAACACTAGGTGGGCTGTGAGCTCGTCTACCCATCCAGCAATAAAAAATAATAATTAATTAACAGTTTAAAAGAAAACTTTCATATTTCACGTCTAAGGTTCATACCCAGTCTTGAAAGCTCTTCAATAAGAGCCACTTATGATATTGGTTCAGCCAAGGATGCATTAACATTGTGTTTATTAAGCCAGTCGATGTACTAAAAACAACCTTACTGTTCACATCTTAAAAACGATTTCCTTATTTCTTAAACTTAAACATATGATGTCGCGACTCTGTCTTACTACATAATATTATAATATAATGAATAATGAACGAACCTCGGCTGACAGTTTATTCAAGTATCCATCCCTTTTCAATAGTTCTTTTATCACAATCAACATCTCCTTCTCAGAAAACGATTTGTTCTCATTCATTTTGAAATAATATGTTTCGGTACAATTTACTTGGACCAAAATTTATATTAATGTCAAATGCTAATGACATTGCCATCTAGTCTATGATTTTGACAATCGCCAAGCACGATATGAGGTACAAGTATAAATTCTTAGAGACCTTTTTGTGGTTTTACTATGAATATCGATAAATTTAAAAAGCATATTACAGCTGGTATTTTTGCCATCGATAGGCAGATGACTTCATGACTCATTTAGTGCTAAGTCATACCGTTATCGAACCCATTTGATCCGCCCACTGCCTTCTTAACGAGCCCTCTGGTGTTGGTTGGTGGGTATTGACACTGCTGGAGTAGAGGTGAGCAAGCATCCTCATGCCACGTTATTAACCGTTATTAGCACCGTTATTAAACATACTCCATGTTCCGGATTTGGGCGACCTTTTTATTAGCTCATACTACTGTTTCTAGTTCTCGTTGTATAAGAGCTAATTATATTTTAGGAGGAATGATAGCTCTTATCTTTTGGTGTTTTACTAACCCCAATCTTAATTTTTAATTATTTATTTTAATTTCTTTCTTTCAAAATATTTATAAAATATAAAACATATTATTTTAAAGTAGACATCGATTGACCTCATATTGATGAAGAATTGAAATTTAGTTTCCTGAGTAGAATCGTTCATAACAAACTGAAGCTCGCGAGGTAGCTTCAGGCGGATAGTCTGGCTGCCGGAGACATAACTCAATAATTTTGGTAGCTAATATTTAAAACGTAATTATACACTGTTACTAAGGTTTGTTTACTTTGAAGTATGTGGTCGAATGTTCGATGGCAGAAATATCAATAACGATAAAGTTAGACAATATTTTATACTAGCTGACCCGGCAGACTTCGATCGAAGATCGATAAATAAAAGACCTAAATTTTTGAATAAAATAAACTTCAAACAAACAAAAGGAATCCGCCCGACGGGGGACACATTAACGGAAAAACAAAATTGTTATTTTTATTTAATTCCGAGCATTTTCATGTTTATTTACCTTTTAAACCTTATCTGGACTTACACAAATAAATAATTCAAGACCGAAATTAGCCAAATCGGTCGGTTTTCGAGTTTTAGCGAGACTAACGAACAGCAATTCATTTAAATATATCGATTTTAAATTTTAGAAATTAATACAAGTGGCCTTTGAAGCACTCTTATGTACTCGTTCTACCTTTTTTTTAACGCTGGGGAATCAATTTATGGATACCCGGTTGAGGGGGGTAACGGACCGGGTTATGTCGGACTCCGGCGCCTCCTGAGAGGAAGAAGGGGAGAAGAGAAGGGCCGAGGTCCTTCACCTCCTTCAATTTCTCACAGGAGACTACGCCTTGAAAAAGGCGCGCGAAGCACTTGCCCCGCAGAACGACTACCGACTAAACCCCATCGAGCTCCACCACACCGACTACACGAAACTTACGGTACCGCGGTGCGCGCTGAAAACTACCTACTAGATCAGACGTTCTATTTTATGCGACTATTCGACCTCAGAATAGCAATAGTGAAATGCGGCGGGAAAATTCTAAGTCACTGGAGGATCAGGAGCCTTGCTCAGATCGGTTCTTAATATCAAGACATTTGCTTTATTTTAACCTTATCCTCTGCAGGGTTTTATTCGTTTTCCAGTTAGTTCTTTATTACGTAATCTCTGCATTCGCACATTTCACTCGCATATCCTCTTCCACACAGCCCAACCAATTTTGTAGGATGAATACAGAGATATGTGAACTGTCCATAAGAGATTGACCTCACATATACACAGATACAGCAGCAGTCGAAACAACGTGATCACATAAATAAAATGGAGTGAAAACGTTAATGAACTCTACATTTGTAGTCTACATAAGTCACGTGATAACCGTGCACGAGTACCCAAAGTGGAGATTATGTTCGCAATGTACATTTGTTATCGAGATGGTTTGGTTTAAAATTTACTTCATACAAGCAACAGCATAGTAACTAGGCAAAGATACAGACAATGCCCGATCTTTTGCAAACATTATCAAATCAATTATCAAAATTGGAGGTAATTTTTATTCTTTTAACTTTTGATTTTGGTTAAATTTAAATTTTTAGATAAACCCTGGGATTACGAAAAGAGTCTATTGCCAATTGTTCTCTTTTCCAATTTGAATGAACTGCCTTTAGTTTTGTCTGAAAGTCGGATGAAAGAACAGGGTTTGAACCTTTTGATTTTTAGCTTCTGCATTGGAAACGGTACGAGTGCCGGTGACATTTGAACCTCTTGTTTGTCATTTGGTTCTCTCTCCCATTACGTAAATGTCCGTTAGTTTAGATCTGTGATCCTGATGCGTGCATAGAGTCAGAGTTCGACTCCCGTCAATATCTATCAGACTGAGAAGCTCTCAGATTGGAGTGGTTGAATCTGGTATCAATATGTACAACGTTTCAATAGTCTCTATCACTGTTAATCATGATAGAGCTTAAGGCAAGAATACTGTGGATGAATCATTACCTATTTAATACATATTCTACTAATCAACTTCATAAATTAAACAACTATGGGATCTTTTGGAATCAATCGAGTGTGATAAGAAGATAAGTAAGAAGAAGAAGATAAGTCGTTGGGTGTGAAACGTTTCGTTTTAACTTTAAGCATTTGTTTTAATAAATCTGCTCAAGTTAAAGTAATCGTATATGCGTGAAGCTAACACTGTACACGTTCGCAGTGCTAACGTAAATAACGCTATTCGTTACTTGGTATTGCCTCTGCAGACATATTGTAACCGGTGACAAATGGAACTGGTTACTGGAGGTACATTGAAGTCGGTACACAGACGCGAGATCAATACCACAGTAGTGATTAGTGATACTGAACGCGCCTTACTTGAATATCTTGGTATTATGGCTAGAAATAATACGATAACATAAAATATTTTGGTATTCGAATTTTTTTAGGACGTGCATAATTAAACACAGTTTAGCCGGTAAAAACTATTAATGTTGTAATTATATGAATACTATACATTGACCGTATAACTAGAGACTCATGACTGATTAGTTCGCATCTAGACAATCTTGGATGCGTTGCTCACAGTACTTTGCCTAATTAAAAAAATAAATATACATACATATTTTTACTATTTTCAAAGGCATAATGAAACACAAGTAAAGTGCAGGTGATGCACGGAGTCATTGACTTTAGCGCGGAGTGTGTGCTCTCCAGCTGTGCTCCAGTGGTGCTAAGTAATGACACGGAAAAAGTTAATCTACCATTAAACTTACTTAGTACTGCTTCATTCATAATTGTTACATTGTATTGCTGACAAAATGTTCAACAGGCCCGTACTGTAACTGTTTAGTTTCGTTTTGTTTTGAAAGGCTGTATAATATCGACCTTGCTGCATCTAATGTTATAAGCAATTGGCGTCTCTTCTAACCTCTTGGATGCTTAAGATAAAAAAAATACAGAAAAACATGTAACCAACTCGGTACTAACATGGTGAATAGATGGTGGAGACAAGCAATAACACTAGTCAAACTGCTATCTATCCACTACTCAAAATGGCCCCAACGACGACCTTACAGCTTGGACAGAAGCCTAAAAAGCTGTAGTTTACAAACATTATATGAAATAAAACTTATTCTAACCTATTTCAAGGCGTGGCCATTGTTAAGATTAATTTTGAATTAGGACTCATCAGACTTTTGAATCATTTAACGTAAGCGAAGATTTTTCACCGAGTGGGTGACATAGGTAAGATCTACGGTCCGGTTGTTCGGAACTTATACAGAAGTTCAAACTTATGTTGAATATTTCGTAGGCGAGATTCAGGCAACTGTCAAATAGTTTTGTGTTGTTTAGTGTAATTTTGTGATGTGTTCTAGCTACCCGATACAAAAGGTTGTGTGTGTGAAATGAGAATATATTTTAAATCAATTAGTTCACGAGTTCATGACCCACCTGATGCTAAACAGACCCCACAAATACCACGACGTGATTGCGGTCAATTATATATATATATATATTTAAATTACCTACGTATACAGATCAGCTACTCCACGCTTACTAGTCACATTGCTCGTGGAAGTCACTAATCCTAAGGACAGCAACCAATCCTGAGCCGCCTCCTTGAAACGGCAGGTTGAGCTCTCAGTTATGTTGCATAGCGACTGTCCGACCTTTCAAACCAGAACACAAATTGCATTGAGACAACATTAAGCAGGATCTCACAATCTCTTACGAGATCTCGACCTCTCGAGAATCTTTACGACAATATTTCAACAATTAAATAAATTCTGTAGTTCAGCAGGGATAAGTGTTCAGTTGTGTCAGTTTCGTACCGTAACTTCGCATTTTCCCAGTCGGACGTCGACCGTCGTCAGGTGCGGACGCGTCTCTCGTAATTGCGGAGAGTGTGCGCGTGTGTTGTGATTCTGTGTTTTGTGTACTTCTAGGAATATTCACATCGAGGTTTGTATTGTTTAATTTGACTTATAAAATTAATATTGGAGTCTACTATGACCATTTTGGATCGGTGTATTTTAGAGTGATTTTAATTTTTTTTATGTATAATATCGTAAATTTCTTTAGGAATAATATTTTTTTCAAAAAATAAGTTTGAGAATTATATTTAGTTGCGCGAAGAAATATTCCGAAAACATCGTTAGTTCAAACTTTGAACAGCTTTACAAGTTTTAAATAAATTCACAGCTTAGTTATAACTTTAAATCATGTTCTTTCATCAGGGGATTGTATGAATGAGAGATTTCATTAGTAATTTTAGTCTTAATTATATTACACGGACAAAGAGTTGAGTATTGCAATTTGTTGATGTTTTTAAAATCCTAATCCGGATTAAACCAGATTAAATAATTCAAACTTAATATAATTTACTTTTTTTAATAATAATAATAATAAAGACAAACCGAAACAGCTTAGTATAAGTTCAATGTGTACATAATAGATGTACATTGTATGTGTACGACATTGAATAGATGCAACCGGGACATTGAATAATGCTACGGATTAAGAGAGCTACGAACGTCTACGCTGCTACGTCTACGCCGCTACGAACATACCTACAGACTAACATAAATTTTGACCAACAAAAATACGGTATTTTCTAAAACGAAGAATTATTACTTTTAGAATTAAATAATAAAAAACCGATTGCCTATGAAAAAAATATTACTTTTACGGTACGTCAGCTGTTACAGATATGTATTATGAATAATACTGATTAAACATAATAATATTGTTAGGGTCATAGCCGTGACAGTAATCATAAATTTTGTATATGCGTGTTTGCGATAAGTATTTAGATAAATTAGTATTTAGATGTTTTTTTAGACAAATCCAGTTCTCGAATCATGACTTAGTGAAAAACGATAAGTTTCATTAATTAACGAAATTCTATTTTTAGAAATCTATGTAACAACTAGGTCGTTGTAGGTAGGTAGTTAAATAAGTAGTTAAATATTACACATTATAGGTGTAATGTGTAATATTTATTATATTTATAATATATATGGTATTGTGAATAGGCCTCTTCCAGCTTTCCACTCTTCTCTATTCTTGGCTTTGTTTCTCCATTCTATTCCTGTTGTTGCTATTATTTCATCGATCCATCTGCTCCTTGGAGGCCTCTTCTTCTTTTGCCCATTGGTCCAACTGACCCCAGTGGGGTTCCAATAGCATAAGTTTTATATTTGTAATTTTTATTTGATAAGGTGTTTCTATTTTGGACATAGCAGCATGGAAATAAAATGGACTTATTATTATTATTATATTGTAGTTTATTGTAAAGTCGTTCACTGGTGTTTGCAGTATTCTAATTAAGTCTCGTGACAACAGTACTCAATATCAATACTCGACCAGTTAAAAACGAATACTTTTGTTATAGGCGTGTTAGCAGACTAATATACCTGTATATACCTATAATAGACCTGATGGTTAGTGGTCATCGTCCCTCATGAACATCAGTAATGCCAGAAGCACAGCCAAGCCGTTGCCTACTGCTAAAGTTCTATACTGATTATATTATACAGTGTACTTATTCCAAGGACGTACTTAGTAAAAAAACACTCTGATCGATTTACTTGAGAGCATTTACATATCTGTTATTGCTCAGAAAGAAACGTACAGAGGAAAACTTTCATTTCTTATTCAAATAACAGTACTTTATTACAATATATTGGTATTCATATCGTAAATGATTGAAGTCCTTCATGTTGTAATGGGAAACGACGCCTATGAACCAACAACAGACATTATATTACTCTTTTGAAAATTAACAAAAACAACTTACTAAATTTTGTAATAAAAATAATTAGTTTTTCAAATCTTGGGCATCCAACAAAGATTGTGAAAAGTCATTTGAAATATAAATAAATTTATACGATTACTTAATAGTTTGATTTAACCGTCGTGACTAATTACATGTGTAGCGAAGCAGTCTGCTTTCTAGTTTGAAGAGTCTTCTGAGAACTTGAGCGTTACGTCTCGCAGTTGTCGACACGTGTACAGGTACGTGTACAGGCACACGTGTATGGGCACGTGTGTATAGTATTTGTAAAATACGTTCCTCACCCCTAGTAAAACGTAATATTAGGAATAAACTTGAAGTTAAGTTTTGTATCTGTTTGATGTTTTAATTATGTGTTGATCGTGGTCCCAAGCTGATATTATCGAATTAAATAGCTTACGGGTTCGATACAGACTTACGGAAAGTTTCCAAGTAAAACACGGACTTTTAGTTAATTAAAGTAAATGACTTTTTTAAACCTAATTTGATATGAGTTAACCCAGTCCAGTTGCATAGACATCAAAATTAATAGTCAACTATAGATTACAAACAGAACCATCAAGCGATTCGAAATTCAAATTTAAAGAAAAACTTTCTGGTGTCCCTGTCTATAAACTCTAAAGTATTGAAAGGCTCCAAAGTTGCAGATTGAAAAAAATAAATCCGAAATTAGCCTCAAAACTAATATTAAAAACAGACATAGCACAACACAACAAAACCACTTCATTTTATAACTCTGAAAAGCAAAATTAAATTACCTTTGCTCCCGGATTATGTTTTTTATTAACTTGTTACGTAAAACCGCGTATGTAAATGAAGGTTCGAACGAGAATACAAAACAGGAGGTTTTCTTTTGATTTGTTAAAATACTCAAAAAATATAAAATTTTCCTTATAAGATATTAAAGCAATCCTTCCAAAATTTCCTTATCAGATAAGGAAATAATTCTTAATATTCTAAGTATTCTTAACTTTATAGTGATTTCAAAAAATGGAGATTTTTTACTTCACACAAGAAAAAAATACAAAAGACTAAAAATGTATCTCGTCGGTGTAGATATTAATGACTTTCACAACTGTACTAAGTAGAACCGAAACTCAATGTCATCACCATGTGAACATAGCAGCATGCTTTTGCCCATCTGCACAGGATCACAGTTCAATCCATGATTCCTCACGGATATAATTATTAATTCCCTCGTAATACTCGTCTAGGGATATGAATATTTCATCCAAAATTACTTTGGTATGCTTTTTGATATATTTTATTAGCTTAGATAAACAGACTGGACGGAATTATAAAATCGCTGGTTTAATGTTCTACTACTGATATGTAGTCTGTTTTTAAGCCCTTCTATTTTTATTACTTTTCTTCAAAGTATACCTGTAGGCACGCTGGATTCTAATGCTTTATAATACGCATATAGATGCTTTCTACATGCTTTGTATTCGGCCTAGTTCACATTTTACTGTCTTTTGAATTTTTCTCCTAACTGTACCTACCAATATACACTTCAACCCTCGTCAACCCACCTCAAAAATATGTAACCTAGACCCGAATGAGGGTCAGATAGGGGTCGGGACCCTGTGTCAATATCGCCGTTATAATGATAATCAGATGTTACAAAAAACTCTATGATTACAATACTGCAGTGCGATCGGAACTGTGCTCTAGTATAAATGATTATAACATATATCATATATATTTTCGCTTAGTCGGCATCTTGCGTCATAGTCGACAGTGATAAGTCCGGTCCATCTATTTGTGTCACTTAACGTATTTCTCATTTATTAGGACAATGAGTACTTTGCTATTGTCGTTTTTAAATATGTATTTCGAAGAAGCCACATTTATAAACACCATCGTCAGACATCAAAGGGGTGAACAGGGTGATAGAGCTTAGCAAACGAAAACGAATCACAATTCTTAGGACGGAGGCACCGCTCTTCAAGAAGACTGGTTGGTAAGTGTGTTGGCGTCTACGCGCCTCTATCGGCTAGGCTCTGTCGTAGCACGAAGTTAGATTTCCAACGATACCGCAATCGTGCTGCCATCTCTCGGGAATCGTGCTGCGTTTTGTTTAGTTACGAAACTAAAGACCGTCTTCGATATATACCTATATATTCACTGGTGGTAGGACCTCTTGGGAGTCCACACGGGTAGGTACCACCATCCCGCCTATTTCCACCGTGAAGCAGTAATGCGTTTAGGTTCGAGGAGTGGAGTAGCTGTTGTAGCTATACTGAGACCTTAGAACTTATATCTCGAGGTGGGTGGTGCATTTACACTGTAGATGTCTATGGGCTCCAGTAACCACTTAACACCAGGTGGGCTGTGAGCTCGTCCACCTATCTAAGCAATAAAAAAATAATATATATATATATATTTATAAGAACAAAATCGATTATAAGTAGATCTAATGATTCGTTCATTCCGTTTACCAGATACTTCCGCAAATTAACACTACGATCGATAAATTGCTTGGTTTGTGTATGCTTCCATGTCGGAATCAACAGTTCGGTTAATAGTAAAATAATTATGTTTCAAAACATAAATATTACAGCTATTCAGTTGAATTCGACTCAGAATGCTTTGCATCACATGGTCAATTGTTTACCGATGACAAGCTATTGAAATACTCTACCACAAAATTATCATTACTACTCCTTGAGACAAATTTTTGTAGGCACGGATAAATCTACTCACCAGTACAACAGTTATATCGAGCTCCACATATGTATATCGCCGATATATGTATCAAAAGCTCACTAACATTAAAAATCATGGATATAACCGTGGATATAAATAATAACATACATATAATGTAGATAACCGTGAATGCTTGAAACAATTCGTGCCAGTATTTTCCTATTAATTCATATTGTTTTATGTTGTAACAATCACCCATCTCTAATAGAAACCGCTATTTTATCCTTCAAACCTAAACGCGCGATTGTTTGAATTTGCTCATTCATATTTAGATCCTTTTCAAAGACCACAATAGGTGCTCCGACCAACCAGCTTCTATTTCATCCACGTGAATGCTTATAACAAAAGCTTTCTGTACAAACATTGAATATTTCGAACGTTGAAATTGGACGTGTAGTACATAAAAACTAATTGAATTTGTTTAATATGGTATCGCAGCGAGCAAACAACGCAATTGGCGGTTAAATCATTAATAATACAAACACGTTATTACGGACCTCCCGATCCATTAACGGTGCTTTTAGGTACCTCAAGCACCGGTCACCGTCCTCGCCAAACCCGTCGCTTGCGACGAAGGGCTCGACGAGTAAATTAACCCATAGACACAGCCCACTGAGTTTCTCGCCGGATCTTCTCAGTGGGTCGCGTTTCCGATCCGGTGGTAGATTCTGCGAAGCACTGCTCTTGCTAGGGCCAATGTTAGCAACACTCCCGGTTTGAGCCCCGTGAACTCACCTAATAGTTCGGTAAATCTAGAATAACTCTTCGAGGTTATTAGAATAGGTAGAAAATGATAATAAAAATAACAATAATACAAAGTCATAATTTGTAATTACGGAGATATTAAATCAGAAAAACCTAAGCTGTATGTGTATAACGTAAGCTCGTATGTTTGGCTCCGAGCTAAATTTTTGCTCGACTTTCATCGGCCCATATGTTTAGCCGTATGTATATATTATTATGTAGGTCAAACTTGTGAAGTGTTTGAAGTGAGAAAATAAAATAATATTTCTTTATTTCGTAAGCATTAGGTTGGGTCGAATATGGGTCTTTCTGCGTCGCTTTGAAAACAGCGATTTCATATAAATAATTGATCTCCTCAATCAACTAGTAAGTCGTAGTACTCGTCGTATATGTGTGTGCTATATTCATATATGTATGTTGTACTGGCTAATCGTATGATATTCTGACCTCCTTTTCATCTTAGTTAGCTAAGTTTAAAACTAAGCGCCCTCGGTGAGGTAGGTAAGATGCTCGTTTAAATCGGTCTAAATGGAAGGGCATAGCCGTCTTTAACTGTTTGGAGTGCCTGAGCTGATGGTGGAACATTTACACGACGAATAAAACGATCTTGTTGAAGGCGATGTCGTGCCTGTATTAATGTCGGTGGCAAGCAATCCGATGTATTATTATTATAAAAAACCATACCTTTTGTTAGTATTACTTAGGTATATAATAATTTATGTTGGTAAATTTTATTCTCAATCGTATCATTCTTGACAGAGAGGTCGTGATCGTCATGTAGTGTTGGAAGAGGCCGACTTAATGCGTCTCACGATGTCGCGCCATCTCTCCCTGCTCGAGGTCATTCTACTGCACTCATTTAGGGGACCTCCCACTGCAGCTTTAGTTTGGTCGGTTCACTGCATTTGTTTATTCATTTATTTACTGTTAGATTAATAATACAATAAATTGATAAAATAAATGTAAAATTGTTTGTGCCTTTTGTTTTAATTAATTTAACATTTTTCAAAAACAAATATTCAAATATATTTTTATTGCTTGGATGGGTGGACGAGCTCACAGCCCACCTGGTGTTAAGTGGTTACGGAAGCCCATAGAAATCTACGACGTAAATGCGCTACCCACCTTGAGATATAAGTTCTAAGGTCTCATCAGTATAGTTATATACAGTATAGTATACAACGGCTGCTCCACCCTTCAAACCGAAACGCATTACTGCTTCACGGCAGAAATAGGCAGAGTGGTGGTACCTACCCGCGCGGACTCACAAGAGGTCTTATCACCAGAAAATACCAGTGTTTGTAATAATTGTGGGTCTTGATAGCTGCGTGTGCCGTGTGTCACGAGCTCGTCTAGGTCAAAATAATTTAGCTAACTTTAATGTTATTAGAGTCACGTACAACACAAGGGTAAATGTTAGACAGTTTGCTTGTCGATGTCAGGGGGATACTCTTGGTTTTGCGTTACTTTTATAATGTTCTTGTTTCTTTCCAGACATTCGGGAGGTATCACAGACAAAATGAAGACTGTAATTATAATATTGTTGCTGGCCAGTATTATCGCCTTCAGTTGTACGAACGCCAAAATAGGTAAGGATAAAATTAATAATTTCCATTAACTGTAGGGTAATGATGTATAAGTTGGTATATACCTATCTTAATATATATAAATCTCGTGTCACAATGTTTGTCCTCAATGGACTCCTAAACCACTTAACCGATTATAATAAAATTCGCACACCATGTGCAGTTCGATCCAACTTGAGAGATAGGATGGTTTTTATTTCGATGAATGGTCGCAATATTTATTAATTAACAATAAAATGATTTCTTATGTTGATTTTTGTTATTAATTGTAANAAATCTCGTGTCACAATGTTTGTCCTCAATGGACTCCTAAACCACTTAACCGATTATAATAAAATTCGCACACCATGTGCAGTTCGATCCAACTTGAGAGATAGGATGGTTTTTATTTCGATGAATGGTCGCAATATTTATTAATTAACAATAAAATGATTTCTTATGTTGATTTTTGTTATTAATTGTAAGTTTCATAACTCTAAAACAGATGGCGCCTTAAATCAGTTTTTACAGACAATTGTTATACTATGACTTTAATATCTCATAGATGGCGCTGTGCTAAAAATACCAACGTTTCACATAAGCTACAATTTAATGGCATAAGCAACACGTGTTTCTGAGGCTAAAGTATAAGTGAAATTTATTTCGTAGTAAACGCAATACAGTGAAATCCAATTGTTCTTACGTTGTCAATTTTTGGTATTAGCATAGGCGGCCGCGAGTTATTTAGAAACAAAAACCTAAGCCACAGCCACAGCAACGTGTGGCCGGGTCCGCTAGTATATTATATCTCTCTTGGCAATTTGACACAAGTCGACTAATATTATTTTGATGCTAACGTTGAAAGCTTTTGCTAACTCAGCGGTAGATTGATTATCTTCCACTATCGCCTTTAATAAGTCGTTATTGACTTTAGTTTCCAGGTGACTACGGAATTTATTTTTTACATAAAAATTTACATTTTAGATGCGTTTTAACATACCATGAGTAATTTATGTTGCAAGCCTTTTCTGTAGCACCTCATATTTTTATCCTGTCGAAAACACATAAATAATTCTCTATTTTTAAAATAGAATTCATTTAAATTTATAATTTGTTGCCAGTCATAGATAAATTACGTTTCAAAGAGACATTATTGTATAGCGGCAACTTCATAGCAAAATAAAGGGCTATTAACAGCTAGCCTATCGTTCAAAACAGCATTCTTGACTGCTTAGTAGCATAAACAGGCAGGATGGGCTCTGAGCAAGTCCGATTTCTAAGTTCTAAGTTATTACTGTCTGGTAGTCACAAGAAAAAATATGATGTTCTTGTCTCGTGGTTTCATTTCACACATCGGCGGTTGTGTGTTAGAATATTTATGTATTCCCTTCTGATTCTAAACATATCTCATCTTGGTGCGTTCGTTTCTTTCGTCTTCGCGTTATGTTTTCTTTTATTAATAATTTAGTTGTTCAGACCAACTCACTTGATGCTTAAGGATCACTAGATTACAGTCATGTAGATGCTTAAAAGACTGACTACTAATGACTACTTTCAGACACGTGTTTGAGGCCTCATCTACATTACATTAATAGCTACGATAAGAGACAACAATGAGCTTCTAACAAAGTGTATTTCTCAATAATGCCTACTTACTATCTTTAATAATAAATATTTGATTTAAAAACAAGATTACAAAAGCAGCTTTATTGTGTAGAGAGCTTAGAATGAAAAAGTTATACTGCTCTGCTGTTTTTATTTAAAATTTTCATACCAAGATTCAACTTTTATAATAAAAATATTTAGAGCAGATTGTGATGTTTGGAGACTATTCGCTGATTATATATTATATACATTAAGCCATAAATTTTGTAAATAAAACTATCTAGGAAACAGAATTAAGTTATCACATTATCTGTTTGAGCATTTATGCGCAGTACATTGTTATACAATGTTATACAAATATTACTATAGACGAAACTAATATGTAGAGAAATTATAAAAAAATTATTTGTTTTGTTAAGCTTCGATTGAACTCTTATGTTTAAAATTTATTTAAATTCATTAACAAAAAAAAAATACATTAAATAACTACATACATATGTAGTTATAAATTTACCAGGAAATAAAGGTCCTGCTCGTCGAAGTATGGGAAATCATCATCATCCGCCGTTTCATAGTTAAACATTTCTTTATCTTTAACATGACAATATGTTATCGAACGATCGAACTGCCCATGTGTCCCAAGCGCCCAAAAGCTGGCCGATTCAATAAAATTCAAATTTTTTCGAATGCTAGTCCGTGAGACTTATTTATTGTCATCGCGAAAGCAGGTTTCATAGGGAATTGAGTTCTTTGGAAGTTAAATGGTAAAATAGTTCCAAAGTATGTTAAATTTATATGTGGAATCAAAATTTTCAAACAATTTTATAAAATACCATTATCAAGAAAAAATAAAGTAGCAGCGATGAGACTATTATAAGAGTACATGAGCGAGAATTTAGCGTTTTATACAGTACTTGTATTATATAGTTAAGTTTAGTATACTGGTGGTAGGACCTCTTGTGAGTCCGCACGGGTAGGTACGACCACCCTGCCTATTTCTGCCGTGAAGCAGCACGGCAGCAGGGCAGCCGTTGTAACTATAGTTGAGACCTTAGAACTTATATCTCAAGGTGGGTGACGCATTTACGTTGTAGATAACTATGGGCTCCAGTAACCACTTAACACCAGGTAGGCTGTGAGCTCGTCCATCCATCTAAGCAATAAAAATAAAACATTGTGTATATGTTAGCAAGTTACCATTAAAAAAAGATAGCTCTTATTGACTCGCTACCAGTACACGCTCGACCGTCTCTGTGATATAAAATACGCCCGACTCGACTCTAACTATTGTGATATTTATGAAGAAGGTTTGCGCTGTGTATTCTTTGTTGTCCTATGACATTGAGAAACGGGGAGCGTTGTCATGCTGGCGTCTACTTAACACGATTAATGAAAAAGTGTATCTAGCCAAAATAAAATCAAGTAGAGTTAGTTCCCATTGCAATATTATTTTCATTGATTTCACTTTACTATTATTTCAATGGACAAGTGACTTGATACGAAACTTTAACAAGTCAACACAAAATTGAATATAATATTTCAGTAGTTGGGTTTTTTTTTATTTATAGAAAAATACGAGAATATTCTTTTTCTATTTAAAAAAGTAAATCATATAATGGAATGTAGGTAATGTATTCCATAGATAATAATAATAATAATAAAGCCTTTATTCAGACAATTAAATTTTTTTTTTTTTTTTTCATATACAATAATTTTTTTTTTTTTTTTTTTACTTTGTTTTAAGTAAGTAGTGGTATTAATGTTAGTTAAAAAAAATTTTTGGAACCTTTTTTTTTTTTTTTTTTTACCTATGTTATTATTAGTTATTGTCTGTTTGTCTATTATAGACATAGGCCTCCTCCAACTGCCTCCATAAGCTTCTATTTTCAGCTGTTCTAGTCCATGTGCTTCCCGCAACTGCCTTAATGTCGTCCACCCATCTCCTAAATGGTCTACCTCGGTTTCTTTTTCTGTCTCTCGGATACCAGTACATTATAGTTTTACACCATTTCTCCTGTCCTCTTATAGTATGCCCCGTCCACTTCCATTTAAGTTTCCTTATTGTAACTGAGACATCCTTTAATTGAGTTTGTTTTTTAATTGTTNCAATTTTTCATTTAACACCTCCGTAACATTTATTGTGACTGTATTAGTTATTATTAGAGTTTGTTGATTTAGCTTATCTTCTAATTTTGACCATAATATTTCCATATTTTTATCCATTTTCTAGGGTAATTTGGGTTTGTGCAAATGGTAACAGCAAATGATAGAATTTATAATTTTGATGCTTGCCACACTATTGAATATTTCGCTGTCATTCGGCTATTCTTCTTAGTCTATGATTCGGTGTATAGGTTGGCACTATTGTAATAAATATGGCTGATCTAATTTACTTGTTGATGATCTTCCTTGTTTAGTTGTGCTCACTTCGATCAAATTTGACGACGAAGAAACTGATTTCGCGCTACTACTTCTATATATTTGAACTTCTTGTGAATGTTCAGGTGAAATAAACACTTGTTTGTACTCGTATGTCACTTAATTGCACTGTTTTGTAATTATTTTTTAAGACAATCACTCGATACGTGTTCACCATTAAGCAACCGGAACCGGAACTGATACCATAGATAATACCTTTTGTCAAATGTATAAATGGAAAATCGTTGTTTCTTAAGATCAGGGGCGTCAAGCTGTCTCGGGTCACGCTGTCGAGACATGTTATCTAACGACATCAAAATACGAACAGTTCTACAAGTGTATTCGTTACAAAACGCTGTATTTTTGGTTCTTTCAAATTTAAAATGGTCAGCATTCCATAAGGCAAATCTGTTTGTTTTAGCTTTAGTCATCTTAGCTTCTAGACGGGCGCGTTAAGGTAGAATTATTGAAGTGAAACTTCTTTATCGACGTAGGGAGGAAAAAACGTATGTAACGTTTTTCGGTTGCGGGCCATATTAATTTCTTCCGTTACGCGCCATGTTTATTTTATTTCTATTGAGTTTGTTATCAACAGATGTCGCTGCACGTAAACTCAACAATTCCTGAATCGCGGTGACAAGATGTTACACAGTTGATAGACGTTCTCGTATTTCTCTTGCTAAATCATACCTACCTACCGTCGAGATACCGTGATCGTGCAGGCGGTTTCCCCGGGGTGCAGCTGCTCCTGCGGAGTGGTTGACCCTTGCGATTATTATTATATTTTATAAGTTTCACTTCTACCGTGTGTAACTTGCACACACACACATTATATTTCGTACATAATACTTTCTTTTTAATATATAGTGGTTAGGTTTCGGAACTCCAGGCTGGCCGGCAATCCGTCATTTCAAATATCATAAACGCATGTTCACACAAATGTGCCGAAACTATAAAAAAGGTTTATCTATTTACTCGTTTGTATTTTTGTGATTTTTTTT